CACAGACGCTGCGGACTACAACACATTTCCATCACCGCGCGGAGCAGCAGCACGTAACATAACCTCTCACAAGTACAACACAACCGTTGATATCTAATCCAAGTCAATGACAAATCCACACCCTCCTTATCTGATTAGGACTGCACTTGTTATTTTTTATTTTTACAAATATGAGAAAACAGAATAAATGCAGGAACGAGTTAATAATGAAACATTGGTTTACTTTGAAGAACAAAACTAGCTAGACAATATGAGAAAATACAGTGTTTATTCGTTAATTTTGGCAGTTAAATACTAGCCGTAGAAACCATTCTTATGCTAAAGGAGAAAGAGCAGTGCTCATATCAGTGCAAAGCAACACATCCTCAGAGGCATGTGTCTTTGAGAGTTATCAGACAGGCATGTGTCTTTGAGAGTTATCAGACAGGCATGTGTCTTTGAGAGTTATCAGACAGACATGTGTCTTTGAGTGTCATCAGACACGCGTAACCCAAGCAGTAAAAAATACCCCTGTATCTACGACTCCACCCTTGATCCAACACTTGGCCAGTATCACAAACAAATGCCCAGCAGTATTAGCTGTAACATGATACAGTCTAGAACTCACTTAACAAAAACAGCTGGATGTGGAAATATTTTCATTATGAGCAAATTTTGCTATGTATGAATCTCAGGCTATACATAAGAACGCATTTTTGCTATGTGCTTGTTTGCTACGTGTGTGCTAGACTGTTGCATGTCACTGTTGAACACGAGAGAAAAAACAAATTTGGAGACAATCTACTTGCCAATATTGACCAAATAAACACAGCATAAGAGGAAAAATGCTCTTCTCCCACAATGAAACCTGGTGAATATCAGTGAGACTTCCATGATAGCTCAAATGCCCGTAAATGCGATCTGAGACTTCCATGATAGCTCAAATGCCCATAAATGCGATCTGAGACTTCCATGATAGCTCAAATGCCCATAAATACCATCTGAGACTTCCATGATAGCTCAAATGCCCATAAATACCATCTGAGACTTCCATGATAGCTCAAATGCCCATAAATACCATCTGAGACTTCCACGATAGCTCAAATGCCCATAAATGCGATCTGAGACTTCCAGGATAGCCCAAATGCCCATAAGTATTATGATCTCCTTGATTCGCAAGATCGACTGCCCCTGCTCCAGGAGGAAATAAATTACACATAGGGTTATAAAAAAACGACAACTGAACGGAGTTGTTCTGAAGGTTCCCGCGAGACCAGAACAACACAGAAACCAATACTCCGGATGATACGAGTCATGTGATGATGATGATGATGATGAAGACGATGAAGCCACCATCCACACTAGGAGTCAGGGAAAGCCAGCTGAAACACTTGGTCGTAAGTCTCCACAAAGTGGACCTCAAGGCCGTCGGTGATGAAAGGCGGGAGATCGGAGTAGTCCTTCCTGTTGCCCTCCGGCAGGATGATGCAATCCACACCTACACGCTTAGCCTGTACGATAAGAGAAAAAAAAACCCATTACTGTGCGTATATTTCTATCGCAAAAAGAAAGTAAAAACAACAACAACAATGAAATGATACACGATAACATCTATACACAAATAAAGAAACTTTCCATCGTCTGTGAAAATCATCATCATCATCATCAATGCCTTTCTCACCCTACACCAGGGTATACCCAGGCCACGAGCAAACACCTTCCACCTTTCTCTATCCTGGGCTAGCCTCTTGGTGTTATTCCACGTCTTCCCACTTTTCTGTACATCGACGTGAAAATCAAATGCCTCGCAATATGCCAGGATTTCTTGTTCACACTTTTTATGGGTCCGTTTACACAAGAAATACAAACTTATTAACCGAAGGTGTCAATAGCATTGCTTTGTCAGTGTTCCTATTCATCTTTGCCCTACCCTGCTGTTGTGAAACAAACATTACGAGATAAGTTGTCTGTTTCTCTCCACCCACAGATTTCAATTTCAGTAACAAGCTACATTGCAATTTTCACTGATGATAATAATAAAATAATATTGGGCGTATCGTGATGATAATAAGGGGAAGACAGCGTAGAACCAGGAGAAGAATCACAGAAATCAATGTACAGAAAAGTGGGAAGACATGGAAAAACATCAAGAGGCTAGCCCAGCATAGAAGAAAGGAGGAAAGTGTTTGTCCGTGGCCTATGCCCTGGTGCAGGGTAAGAAAGGCAATGATAATGATGATGATGATGATGATGATGATGATGATGATAATGAGATGAGCATGGAAAAATACAGTCTACTCCCACCACCACGTCACACATCTCTTAACCCTATCTGTACGCCCTGGGGTCATTTTGTACCCCGTGGTTGTATTCTTCACATTTTAGAATACTTCTAGTACCGTACGAAGATCTCTTCGTGGCACAGAGTTCCCCACATCGTATGGATATGATAGTAAAACACGACGTACGGATAGGGTTAACCATCCCTGTACCTGACACAAATCACAAACCTACCACACCATGACATTTACTTTCAGTTGCAAAAAAAAATTCCATCTCATTTCCCCCCACATGGCATGTTCTTGCACTTGGGGTGTTCGGGGAGTTTTCAAGGCTCTTCACCTGCCTGACCTACTAGTCTTACAGGAGACGGAGACGGAGACAGATGGTAAACCTGGAGGTCCTGCCTCTCATACAACCTTACACAGTTAAAAAAGGCATTAAACCCACGCAATATCATTTCATTAACTCTTTAAACCCCATCGGACTCTGGGAGCGTCCGATACCAGTGACAACTGTTTTGTTTCATTTAGTGCTAGTGTTTGTTTGTTTTTCGGAACTATTCCAGAAACAAGTTTTTTAGTAATGACTAAGCCTTTGTGTCTGCCATTTAGAAGTTGGAGGCAAACTTTTGGGGTTGTAATAAGACATAGCGCACCAGGTTTAGGTGACCGTAGAAAAAAAACTCCGGGAAACGGTGGACATAACTCACGGTCTAGAGAGTTAATAATGGAACAGCTTCTCAGAGGTATAAACTTTTCAGACGTGTAAATTTACCATAGTAGTCTATCTTGGTCTAAGAAGTACAACACGGAAAAAATGGCATGACTGTGCCGTGAACATTCTTCAGGGGAAAAAAAGGAGAGTCCTAGATGAATGTCTTCCCACAAGTAAGTAAAAGAGACATTGAGCAATTTTTATCCAAACTTGTCATGGAAAATCAATAACACCTTTTTTTGCTTCATTCTTTCAGGTGTTCATGCGAGAAAAACAAAATAAAATGTGAGGTGTGCTGACAAAATGAGGTAAGTCTCGGGATTTTAGCCCTATTGACACAGATAGGTACATGGAATTTATAAGTCAGGTTTGTACTATTTATTATATGGAATGATAAAAGACATGTTTAACTTGAAGAAAAAATGGCATCTCTCAAAAATCTACAAATTTGATGTGTCTGTTTTCTGCCGACGTCTCAACTCATGGGTTGAGAGAAGTAACTCATTTTGTCCGCACGCCTCACAAATAATGTAACATTTTCCTCACAGCGATTGTCTTCTCTTTGATTCCTCCGACAGGAAGCACCTTCCCCGTCAGCGACACTTCTCCTGTCATGGCCAGGTTTTGACGCACGGGTTTATCCAACATCAGGGAGAGTAGTGCTGTGGTAATGGTGCACCCAGCACTAGGCCCGTCCTTTGGAGTGGCTCCCTGGAAGACAAACAGAAGGAAACAGTAATGACAGCTGTTTTCAAATGTAAAATTGGGAATGTACTAAGTTGCGAATGTTGCAATAACGATTCTTTGATAGTATGATTATGTCCCCTTCTTGACACGTCTCGTGCTGTCTCGTTTTGAATTCGAGATCTCATTGTAAAAAAAACCCAATAAACCAGTTTTCTGGTAGGTAGGCGAGCTAACAGGTTGTGTTTGTGGTATTTCTTTACAAGTTTTAATCTTTTAATAATGTGATGCAATATGCAGCTGCCACAGAAACACCAAGTTCTGTATCATGCTCACTTTTGATTCCACAATGAAATCCTTTTTTTTAATAAGTGTTTTACAGCGCTCGCAACCGCATAAAGTCATATGAGCGAGCGGGACAACATTAGACATTTTCAGTTTTGGTAGGAAATTTTGAATTTTGCCCAGGTGGCGGCCGAAGCCTACTCTTATCGACTTTGGACCACCAAGGGATCTTTAAGGAGCGCAACTTGCACATAGGACCTCTGAGATTTTTTGCCCTTGTCTGAGAGGGCTAGGTGTAGACCTTTCCTACCAGAAGATCAGGGGGTGTGGTTGAAAGACAGCAATAAGAAGGAGCCAAGGAGTAGCAGTTGAAAGGCTGCGGAAGAGTCAGGAGCCCACAGGAGGGGCAAAGGAGGTGAGGTGGTGGGGGCAGAAAGTGGAGACGAAAGCAGACGACAGAATATTGCTAGAGAGGAGGAAAAGAGGTGAAAGGAGACAATCTTAAAGAAGAAAATGTTTCCGTTGCTACCCAGATTCGAACCTGGGACCTTTGAATGAGAGGCGAACTCCTTAACCACTATGCCACAACCCCACCCCCCCCCCCCCCCCACTTTTGCATTAGACTGCAAAAAATATGCAATGAACAATGAACAAATGCAAAATCTACATTTGACAAACCATATCCCAGATCCCTTTCCTACCTCAGGAACATGCAAGTGCAGCTGGGCTTTCTGCATGAACAAGTCGTCCGGAAACTTCCGTGTAGAAAACGCTTTGGCAAAGGTGTAGGCCAGCTGTGCGCTCTCCTTCATCACAGTGCCCAGGTTGCCTGTGAGCTCCAGGGAGCCGTTGTCCGAGCTTGATGGGTCCAGTTTTTTCTTGATGGCCGTCTCGATGAACAGAGTGGAGCCACCTAGCCGACCGGGATGGGAAGTAAATCCAAAAAGAAATGAACTACGCTGCAAGCCGAAGGACAGTTAGTTTGTTTGTCTGAGCATTGGTCTCAACTCAGAATTTTTAAAAAAGGAGGAACTTTCAGCGTGATCGCCACGGAAGACCATTTTCGAGAGACACCCATTATTATACTGTTTAAACCTCAAATGTTGAAATATAAACCATCAGTTTATCAAAGCAAGGTTATTTCGTACCAATTTGAGAGTTCCGTCGGCAATTTCAAGTAAAAGAGTCAATTACCAAAAATTCATAATCTTGATTATGTACAGAAAGTGGTGATGCATTACTCCGGGGGTGCCCCTCCCAACAACTCTTTTTGCCAGTGACTGTTCTTCAACAGTTTTGCGGAGGAAATGGAAGTAGTGAAAATCCGTTAAATAGCGGAATACTGAGGCCTATGCTGAGAAGCAGACAGGAGCATTCTACACCAGAGCACCCGTTTGTCATCTCCACTGCTCAGTGTGCGACTTCATTATATGTCACTTTTTAAAATGGCTTATAGTGGAGTCCCACACTTAACAAACCATCTGTTTTTTGTTTTTGACACTGACTTTACATTTTTCTCACCTCAATGTAAACTCGTGGCCAGGCCCTCACTACAATGTCCTCTCTACTAGGACGAGGTGCAGTCTTCCAAAACCTACTTTTTCTTATTAAAGAGCTCAAGTTGTGCAAGTTCCAAACAGGATACCTGAATGGACTGAACACAATCATCTTCTCTTTTCTTAAATAAAAGATGAACTCTAATACGAGACACATTAAACTTTTTCAGTTGGTTGAAAATTTAGAATTTTGCCCGGGTGGCGGCCGAAGCCTACTCTTATCGATTTTAGACCACCAAGGGATCTTTAACGTGAACAACTTGCACACGGGCCCTCCAAGATTTTTCACCCTTGTCCGAGAAGGCTAGGTGTAGATCTTTTACCCCTGAGATGGAGCAAATTGATGTCAGAATTATGTCCACCACAATCTAAGTTATAAGACATGGGGATACACTTTTACTGGCACTTGGAGGATACATACCAATTTGACAAACAGTCTACCTGTTACATCACAGTTTGTAAAAACTGTCACTTGTTTTACAAAGAAAGATAGATTAAATATTGTGTACAAGAAAGTAAATTCTGAAATTCATCTCAATTTGCGAGATACAAAGGTCGACCTATTGGTTTCAGCCAAACTTTTAAATTAGCGTTTGTCCCAAAACTGTTCATTAACATATTCTCAAACACTGTACAAGTACAAGTAAGCTCCATTTTTACAAGTTTTAACAAATGAAATACGATACAATTAGGCCCAGCAACATTCATAAAGTCTGGAATTTGTAACACTTCAAGAAAAATTCATGGAGATTTCAAAGCAGAACTGTCCCCGTCGTTTTATGCAAGAAAAATTCTGAAATTATGCAAACTGAGCCCAAAAATGTGAAATTGTACGATTCTGTTAATTTTAACATAGAATGATAAGGAAAAAAATCAGAAATTATGCAAAAAATGATCAAATTTCTAAATTATGTGGGGTGCAAAAAACGACGGGGACAGGCAGAATCACTTCTCATCACTGAAGAAATAGTCCACTAGTACAATAAAGGAAACGTAGTACAAGTAATTGTGTGACACTTTTCTCAAAGTCCACTAAGGAGAGAGCACAGTCCCAGTCAAGACCTACCCATGGACGTCCAGGCTAGACCAGTGACAACTCCAGGTGGCGTCTGGTCATACATTCTGTCGTGAGTAAAAATAGGCTTTCCAACAAATTCCTGAAGGTTGTCCAGGTCTATATTGATGTCACTCACTGAATCTTTCACTATCTTCAGAGCAGCCTTGCGGTAGATCTGTCAAAAGAAAGATAAGTTTTTAGGTAGCTTCATATACTAAATGATAAAGATGTTCCCAACTCTCCCATTAACTTTGGTGCAGCCTAAGCTGAAGACCTGTAAAAGGAGATCATCATTTGTAGCAAAAACGTTCATGTAACAAATCATTGAATGTCCCATGATGCCCCTCACAGACCCTCTTATTATTTTCTTTTTTTTTTAAGTTTTAGAAGAGGTTTTACGGCGCTCGCAACTGTATAAGGTCATATGAGCGCCAAACTTGTCATTTTCAAAGCAGCGTCGCATAAGATTTGTGAAAAAGAAAAAGAGAGATTTTTAGTAGCAAAAAGTCTGTGAAAAAACAAGTCATGAGATTTTCCATGTAACAGACCAACATTCGCATTTCCATCTTGCCCCTTTTTTTTAAAATTGCAAACATGAGGGTAACAACTGAGGAAAACGGTACATGAAAACAAAACTCCAGAAACTTCTCAAAACTGTCACCCCCACCTACACACACACACACACACACACACACACACACACACACACACACACACACACACACACACACACACACACACACAGACAAAAAACCTGCGACCACTGTATGTTGAAGCAACAGGGAATACTCACCTTCTCAATATGTTTCTGTAGGTTGCGCACACCACTCTCCCTACAGTAGGCCTTGATCAGCGTGTTCATTGCTTCGTCGGTGATTTTCATGGCATCCTTGGAAACACCTGAGTGCTCTAGAGCTTGAGGAACAAGGTATTGCTGAGGGGAAAACAGAAAACGATGATGCTTCTTTCATAGTCACGGAACAATTCATAAGAAACCACATCTTTTGCACGTCAGTTGTCTTTTAGTTTTAGTGAGTGTTTTACGGCACTTGTAACACAATAAAGTCATATAAGTGCCGAAGATTAGAGGTTACAGGAAAGTAACAAACACAAAAAAGAAGGAGGGGAGATAAAGACAATAGATGTTTGATAGGAAAGAAGAAGCAAACCATACCAGAGCACCCGACAACCACCCACCTTCAGTTGCATCAGCCAGGTGGTGACTATAGAAGGTAAATACAAAGGCACAAAGTAATTCTAATTCACTGCTTGGAGATAAAAGAACATCTGAATATTATTTAGTCTCTTCCCCCAAAACATCAAAAGCTTCAGCATAGAAAAAATTAGTCCATCCTCAGCTAAAAATACATGTGTAGTAGCTAATTTCTTTTTTCTGTTTCTGACACCTCAAACACTGGCACTGACAATATAAGGGTCCTACAGTTGTGTTATGTCATCTATATAAAATATATTTGTGAAAGTTCGTCACCTTGGTCGCCGAAAACTTCCGAACCACTTAACTTTCGAATTTGAAAAAATTAACAGTGGTTCAGAATCATTTAAAGGGTGCACAGTTGTATTAAGGAGTCTGAAGTCACTGTAGTTTAATTTTCAGTTTTTCATTAGTTTCGTTTAGATCTAATCTGAGGAAAGTCCATCTTCTAAGACACCATTGTAAATAAGTGAGGCTTCCATTCACAAGCAGTGCGCACCGTTTCCACAATGACTTGACGATCGATTCTTTTGAGTCCGTTCATCGAGCGGGTACCCAGCTAGTCGGCTATAAACTCGGTCCCGTCTTCCCATACACCTACCTTGGCAATGTTCAGCTTCTCCTCCGCGACATAGCCGGACACGTCAATCATCTCCATTCTGTCCCTGAGAGGCTCAGGAATAGTGTCGAGCACATTGGCCGTGCAGATAAAGAGAACCTGAGAAGAAAGATCAATGATGATCAAAATTACACCAAATACAATGTAGGCCTACATGGAGCACTTCGAGCAAAGAAATGAGTGGTGAACAACGATTGCCCATGTAGGATTCAAATCTGGCAATTGAAAAAACTTGTTACTTGTTACATGTGTGAAGGACCGACATCACTGCACAAGGGGCATCCCCATAAGCGCTACGTCCCCTGAAGAAGCACATCTGAAAGTGTGTAGATGCTGACGGTTCCAAGCAATATTTGATTCCATAGCCTTCTGCTCCTCCCACTAAGTCTTGAACTTCTGCAGGCGCCCCATCCAACCCCAAGCTCACGAATTGAAGAAAACAATGTGCTTATATGAAGAATATACCAAATGTCTCCCTAGAACATCATGACAATGACAGAACATTACCTGCAATACTGATAACAAAACTGCTAGCAAAAAATATTCTATCATCAAAATAAAAATCTTTTCAGATATTTTGTGGTGTGCATGAGTAAATCTTAATCAAAATGTTTTAGAGACACTGACCTCGCACACGAAAAGACATTAATAATCTTACACATATACAAACATTCATCTGCAAGAACTGATGATAAAGACACAGCAGCCTGGATTCAGCCTCAAAAACCATTGATCAGCCAAAATGAGGCAAACAAAATTGTAGGGTGATAGGAATAAACTGATAGATAAGTACTGATCATGACTTTGATTAAGGAGGGAAATTTACACAAGATATTCAACTCACAAATGTGCATTTGTCTATACTAGATGATTAAGTTTTGTAAGTACAGAAGAGTGTGAGTGTACATATCATCAGATGCACTATGGCCAAAACTGATAATTTTTAAAAACTGCAGTTTCTTAATTAATTCGTGGGATTAGTTGCCTGTGCTCAATAAATATTTTGTCCAAATCCAAATTCTAACAGTTGAAAAAAAGAAGGAAGAAAATATATATAACGTAGGTACAATTGTTATAGGGATGAAACTTTCTCTCTCCTGAAAAACTGTACTGTCTGGGCTTAATATTTAAAACAGCTTGCTGACCATATGTTAGAGCATTGCAGGTGACTGTTGTATATTGTCAGGGGCAAATAGTTGAAGCAGAAAATCCTCTGAGACACTGACCTTGCTGAGGTCAACAGTCACATCAAGGTAATGGTCCAAGAAGTTGTGATTCTGCTCCGGGTCAAGAAGCTCCAACAAGGCAGAGGACGGGTCGCCCTGGTAACCTCTGCCCATCTTGTCCACTTCATCTATCAGCACCAGTGGATTCTCTGTCTTGGTCTTCTTCAAGCACTGAATCATCTTCCCAGGCATAGCACCGACATACGTACGTCTGGCCGAGAGGAAGAATGAAACAAGAACATTTAATTATTTAAAGAACTAAAGAAGCTTTAAACTAAAGGTTTCATGGCTCCAATCAGAGATACATATGGTCGCTTTTAATTAAGGACAAGCGGGCTAACCAGAGGGGGTTTCCAGAAATCTTGACCTACACCAAAAGTGGGCATTGCCCTACCCATAGGAGAAGTTTGGTTTCATTGGTGTATATTTGTTTAGATATGGATAAAACTTTCCTGGACTTTTAAAAAAACTGAACAAGGGGCAAAAACTTTACCTTCGATTTTCTCAAAACAACATTTTTCGGGATAGCCCCCTTGTCCTTAAAAGCGACCATATATTTTGTCCTTTAGAATTGGATATTGATGCATATTAAATGTATTAAAAAAGAAAAAAAAAAAAAGGTCAGGTCATCAGTTGAGAAACACATGCTAAAACCTCTAAAATAAAAAATAATCATCATTTCTCTGTTGCTATAATTCCTTGTCTAGTTTCCACACAAATTTTTAGAAGTTATAGTCACAATGATGGAAAACAGAACTCATGACCATGATCCAGAACAGCATAGACACTATAACTGAGTGCCCGGACGCACGATCGGGTCGGTTTGCCATCAGCCAGATTGAGGGCGCAAACTGACTATCATGGCACAGACCGATCGCCCCACTCGTTGCCTCAAAAACAAATGCGTTTAGTTTTCAGGTGACGAATTGGGCGATGGACACGCCCCGACACGATCCCATCCGCAATGGGCACCCGTTATAAAGCTTACCTATGTCCTTTGATTTCTGCCACATCAGTCATTCCACCAACACTGAATCTGAAATACTGACAAGGAAAAGACAGGTTATAGTTTGTTGGTTTAGTTTAGTTTTAGCAGAGGTTTTACGGCGCTCGCAACTGCATGAGGTCATAAGAGCGCCAGAAGATTAGAAGTGTTACAAGAGAGTAACAAACATAAAAAAGAAGAAGGGGAGAAAAGGACGATAGATGTTTGATAGGAAAGAAGAAGCAAACCACACAAGAGCACCCACCAACCCACCCGCAGTTTGTTGGTGTGGTTGTTGTTTTCGTTTTTTTAGGAAAGCAACATACTTGGGTCAACAGCATGAAAATAGCAAAGTAACAATATATGGCATATGGCTTTGCCAATGTCAAACCTCTGTCTATTGCGAAGATAAAGGATAAAAGATATCACTATTGTGACTATTCTGAAATGGACCACGTTATGGTGCTACAAAGGGTTGAAAAGAAATTTGTTGCTTCATAATTTTACAATATATACAAGATAAGTAGCTGGCATCTACTAGACAGCTATATTCATATAAAAGCAAACAAAGACAGGGAGGAAAAAGGCTTGGTTTTAGTTTTAGTATAAGTAAAGGTTTTACTGCATAAGGTCATATGAGCGCCAGAAGATTAGAGGTGTTACAAGAGAGTAACAAGCATAAAAAAGACGAAGGGGAGATAAGGACGACAGATGTTTGATAGGAAAGAAGAAGCAAATCACACCACAGCACCCGCCAACCACTCACAAAAGCTTGGAATGTAACAAGGACAATTCAAATCCTGGATGAAGATACTGATCTTGGGCAAGCTTCAGCAGCAGGAAATATACATATTGAACAACTGTTATTTGACCCGTCTCTTTTTCCATCCCTAACTCTCACACATGTACTGTTCCACACTTCATCAAGCCACAGACTTTTCGGAGGATAACAAAACTGAGAGTCAACACCTCAGAAGTATATGTCTGTCCCCGTGGTTTTATGCACCCCGCAAAATTTGATCATGTTTTTACATAATTTCTGATTATTTTCCTTTGTAATTCTGTGTTAAAATTAACAGAATCGCATAACTTCACATTTTTGGGCTCAGTTTGCATGATTTCAGAATTTTTCTTGCATAAAACAACGGGGATAGATATGTGCGATAGTTTGGCACACCACATCTGCATCATCTCTACCTTTTCCTTACTCTTCATCAACCCTGATCTGGTTTGCTCCTTCTGTCCTATCAAACTTCTACAGTCTTTATCTTGCCTCCTTTGTTTCTTTGAGTGTTATTCTCTAGGAGTATCAACTTAATTCTTTTAGTTTTAGAAGAGGTTTTAAGGCGTAACTGCATATGGTCATATGAGCACCAGAAGATTTGAGATGTTACAAGAGAGTAACAAACATAAAAAAGATGAAGGGGAGATAAGGACGAAAGATGTTTTTGATAGGAAAGAAGAAGCAAACCACACCAGAGCACCTGCTAACCACCCACTGTAACAACTCTGATCTTTGGAACTTATAAGACCTGTTTATGTTGCAAGTGCTGTTGACATCTTACTAAAACTAAACTCTTAATCACTAAACCAAGCGTTCTGCCTCCAAAATAGCAATGAGCCTCTACTAACAGTGATGTAAACTTGTACAAAAACCAAAACTGTCTTTTCACCTTTTCAAAATGCAATCAAACACATACACAGAAGTATCCATTCACAGACACACATGTGAAAGAGTACTGGTACTTACTTTCCTGTTGAGAGCTCTTGCTATGGACTTGGCAATGCTAGTTTTTCCCACTCCAGGAGGCCCATAGAAGCACAGTATCTTGCCCTGGGTGTGTCCCTTCAGTTGACTGACAGCAATGAACTCCTACAATGAGGAACATATGTGTCACGACGCGGTGGAATCAGGCACTCGTCAATTTTAGGGCATGTTGAGTTACTGGTATCATCTTAAAGCTTGTTAATTTGTCTATTCTTCAATGACAAAAATATCCATATTATTTGAACAGAAGTCAGGAAAATATGCGATGGAAGGAGGCGGCGGTGGCCTAATTTCAGAGGTAAAATTAGTGAGAAAATGGTCGCCAAACTTCCATTACTTGAGAGCCCTTGGAAACTGAAAATTTACATTTTTTATGCCTTTAACCACCATTTTTAAAATAAAATCCACATAGAAATATGTTTTTAAAGGGACATATAGAGTATTAAGCCAAAAAAACAAAAGTTCCATAAAAATTGCTCGAGTGGAATAAAGCTCTAAGGGAATAAAAGCTGTACCAATAGTCAATACTGGATCGATAACAACAACAACAACAACAGCAACAGCAACAACAACAGCAACAACAACAGCAACAACAATGACAACAACAGCAATAACAACAACAACAGCAACAATGATAACAACAACAACGAGCAGTCAATAAACAAAACGAGCAATCTGTGCACAGCTGCAAGGTGATTTTCTCATCTTTCAGATTGAACACAAGCAGCTCACCAGAATTCTCTTCTTGACGTCCTCCATGCCGTAATGGTCTTCGTCCAGTATGGTCTGAGCTCTGTCTAGCACCAGAGTCTCATCGCTGTACTTCCCCCACGGCAGCCCGGTCAGCCAGTCTAAGTAGTTGCGAGTCACACTGAAAGTGCCAAGGAATGGTCAGGAGAAATGAGGTTGAACTTAATCTAAAGTACTAAGGAATGGTAAAGAGCAATGAGGTTGAACTTCACACTAAAATGCCACAGCTTACCAATGACACTTTTCAGTGGCAAAACTTGTAACAAGAAAACAATTCTACAGTGAACACATTTTTTCACAATACGTTCTCAAAACAAGCGTTCAATAAGCATAATGTCGAGATTAGAAAAAAATGACGGACCTGCTTTTAAAAGCGATATAGCCCCAGCTGTAAACCTTTTAAAATCTGTAGAAACCACCCACATGGGTTTTTTATTAGTATTTCTTAGGGAGCTTTCTAGAATACAGCTAACTGGCGCTTACAAAAATATTGAGGTGTTAAGACAAATTGATACAAGTCATTGTGCAAAAACTGGAACGTCTATGTTCAATAGTGTAGGAAATATTTGACAATAAGTTACACCACAAATTTTTGACCGCACTATAATGTTTCCCGGACTTACTTGAACTCGGAGGAATGGTTGTCCAAGAAGGAAAGTTTCCCCAGCTCTTCGTCAATCACCTCCATAACATGCTGGGGCACCACAAGGTCCTAGGTGAACAAATAAAAACTGTTGTTAAGTTTACAACAGCCACTTTTAGTTTTGTTTTAGTAAGGTTTCTTAGTTTTAAAAAGAGTTTTACGGCCCTCACAACTGCATAAGGTCATATGAGCACCAAGGGGTGGATGTTAACAGGGAAGTCCAAACGAGGAATCAGGCTTACTCTGCTCACCTATCTAGCTTCAACAGCACAAAGTCTGCTTCGACTATCAAGGCACCCTGGAAATAGCAGTTCACAAGCGAGTGACAAACATAAAAAAGAAGTAGAGGAAAAAATTACTGAGGCGACGATTTAATACAGTGACACAAAGATGATAAAGATAGCATACTTCTTTATCTTGCAAAAAAGAAATCACAATTGTCTGAAGCAAGGAACTGTTACAGAATCTTCCCTCAGTCCCACTAACAAATCAAACTTCACTAAATCAACACGGAAATACCTGGAGTCTGGATCGAAACTTTTCTTCAATGGCGTCTTTGTCGTCCTTCTCAAGGCCCAGCTCTTTCTTGATAATTTTGAGCTGCTCTTTGAGAATGTATTCCCTGTGCTGTTTCTTCACCTTCTCCTCCACCTCTTTCCCGATGCGTTGCTGCAGTTTGCTAAGCTCAAACTCTTTCTTCAAGAGAGACAGAGCCAGCATCAGCCTTTTCGAGATCTGTGTCAGTAAAAACAAAACATAAAACCTTCACTGAAACAGATAGCGCTGGACTACAACTGGACACAGCATTTCTAACAACATAATTTTGACAAGAAGGGTTAAGTGGTGGTTTACTGCGAGTCAGTATATGTGAAGCATGCTGACAAAATGAGTTACGCCTCAGATTTGAGGTATAAGGAAATATATAAATCACACTTATAGGTGAAGTTTGTTTGTTTTAGTAGACGTTTTACGGCACCCACAACTGCATAAGGTCATATGAGCGCCAGAAGACTAGAGGTGTTACAAGAGAGTAACAAACATAAAAAAGGACGTGAGATAAGGACGATAGACGTTTGATAGGAAAGAAGAAGCAAACCACACCACAGCACCCACCAACCACCCACTTAGGTGAAGTTTTTAAAAAGCGTAAGTGTGAAATAATAACAGGCATGTTACATTTAAAGACTACGGCATCAATAAAAAATCTACAAATTTGACCATTGTGTCGATTTCTGGCCAATTTGTGGAATGCAAGAAGTAACTCATTTTGTCAGCACACCTCACATATTAACAGTTTTATTTAACCAGGGACACATCTTATAGAGAGAAAAAATAGACCACACCACAACACCCACAACCAACTTGAGCTCCTTCAACTATTCCCTTTGAGATTTTTTTAACACACGGAATCTACAGAAACAACCCACAAACAATCAAACAATTGAAACTCAATGCTGAACAGAAGGTCCAAGGAATTGACACAGAAACATGCCACAGTTATTAAGAATTTCCAGTGGCAAATTGGACCTTGTATGGAGAAAAATGGTCAACATATGGGGAATTAAATAGCCACCACCTTCCATGAGTTTAATAAGCAATATCAGTTTTGTATAAATTTATTATCCAAATAGTGTCTTTTTTAAAAAGAACAATACCATTGTTTTTTTTAGAAATTGCAAAGTTTTGCGATTTATTCAATTTTCCTTGAACTTTTTAAAAACTTATTTTTCAAATATATTGGTTGATTTTGTCCATACTCACAAATGTAACCCCCCCCCCCATACCCCAGTTGAATTTTATTTATTCAAAGTCTTGTTGAAATTTATCCAGAGATGACCAAGTTATTGCCCTTTGAATGAGTCCTCTTTTTACAGACACCCAGCATGCATGTCTGGGCCTTTAATGCACCTGGGCCTATTCCTGTGTATTTTTGGGACACCCCGCTGGCCCAGTGGCCTAGTCCCATGTATTTACAGGATGTGATTATCTGTCAATATTTCCGGTGTTTTTCAGTTACAAGCTGCAGGAAGCGGTGAGCCAACAGTAGACCCACTTGTTTCGTTTCGTAAAAAATTTGTTGGAAGTTATGTGCGATATGTTTGGAGCTGTAACAGAGTTAAGTCAGTCACCCCGGCATTGCGATAGATGATTTTATTATAAATTGGGGGTAAATTGCATAACCCTCAGACATTGATTGCCATTTCAAAACATTGATAAAATAAAAACTATTTAGACAAATTAGATGCAGAAATCCTTTTCTTTGAGAGCATTTCTTTCTTGCTCTTGCTCTTGTTGCATTTTTAAAATTATAACTTCCACAGTCCTTTTGTGATTAACGCTTCAATATACCCCAAAAGTGTAAGGCTGCAATGGTTGTTGGGTGAAAAATAACTCAGACTCAAGTGAGTTAATTCTAAGCCCCGAATTTTTTCCACTGTTTCTAAGAGTTTTGTTTCTACAGTCACCTAAACCTACTGCACTATGTCTCATTATAACCCCAAAGGCTTGCCTCCAACTTCTAAATAACAGAAGCAAAGCTTTAATCATTACTAAAAAACTTGGTTCGGGAATAGTCCCGAAAAACAAGAAAAAACTAGCAACGAAATAAAATGAAACAGCTGTCTCTAGTATCGGACGCTCCCAGTGTCTGATGGGGAACAGGGTTATTACGCTCCCAGCATCCGATGGGGTTGAAAGAGTTAAACACTTACGTTGATCTCTTCCAGCACTTCCTGCAGCTCATGAGGCTCACCAGCTGTAAGTGCAGCACCTGGAGGAAAAAACAAACAACAAGGGACGTCGATGAATTTCTGAATAACTGCCACCTGTCAACATAGTACCACTCACTTCTCTGAAACTGGAAAAATGTTCACAAGCAATTTAGTTCAATATATCGTCGTCTCAGAACTATTTTGTACAAAGTGTACTTAGATAAAGAGGCACTTTGAACAAAACTTTCTGAGGCGACGATATACAGTGGCCACTTCCAACTCAGTTAAAAAATGTTAATGAGAATGTGTGTTACGTGTGTGTGTGTGTGTGTGTGTGTGTGTGTGTGTGTGTGTGTGTGTGAGTGCATGTGTGGGGTGGGGAGGGGGGAGGGGGAGGTGTATCTCCAACTCAATACCCACCTCCAAGGCTATGGAGTCAAGAAACAAACCACAAAAACTCTTTAAACAATCAAAGTTCAAGAATGGGTCGCTGAAGGTTCAAACAAGGACTGTCTGCGCCACAGTCCAGCACGACACTAACTGAGCTTACAGTGAGTCTTCTTTACCTCGCTTATGTAAATAATCAAACTGAAAGTACAGTGAGTGACCCATGACAGCGCTTAAAAGTTTTCTGACATAGTTAAGACTACCAGAAATCCTAAACTAGACTGTCTTCATTGTCACACAAAACGCACAGACATTTTGGTAAAAGTGGTTAATCTAACCCGCATGTGCCACTTCACTTCATTTTGATCCATCGCCTGTAGGATGTCCTGTAGGATGTCCTGTAGGATGTCCTGTAGGATGTCCTGTAGGATGTCCTGTAGGATGTCCTGTAGGATGTCCTGACGTATCCCTTACTGGTCATGGTTTACAACCAGAGACGGGCTCTCAGAAATGTGCCCCCACTTCAATTCTACTCGCATTATCATTTGGCCATTACTCCCCCACTCTACAACATTCCTACAATTTACAGAGTTATGGCTAAAGATATGCCCATTCCTTAATGAACCCATTGATTTATCTATGGTTTACTGAGATCACAGACACATCAACTTCTTACCAAGATCGCTGATATAAACTGGATTGTCGATCACTCTCTGGCCAGCTTGGATGATCTGTGCCAGGTTTTCCCTGAAGTAGGCAGCAAACAAAAGAAAAAATGGAAGAATACACACCTATTAACACATGCCACCTGAACAAAAAAGTCAAGGAGAAAAATACAAAGAGCAGTTATTCATCAATTTCTGATAACATGAAGTGTACATACTTTGCGACCTGCGTAGTATCTACCTACCTGCCTCCCCAGACATCAGAAATACTCTATATAACGACAAAACACAGCTGATAAAAACCTGTAAATTCTTTGCCACATCGACAGGCCAAAGGGTTATAACTCAGATGGCTGCTGGATCGGAAAAGTAAAGTAAGTAAAGTAAAAGGACATGAAAGTAACCGCTACTCATCTACTCATCTCATGCAAATCAATTAATCTCCCCC